TTTCGTTATTCGAATTATTAAAAAATGAGAAACCAGAAATCGACGAAAATTAATAAAAAAGTGTAAAAATTTCGTGAAATTATTTAATTTATTTATATTAAAATTCTTTTGTAAAATTTTGTATTACTTTTGAAAGTTGAGTGCATCTTTAACCGTTAATTTTTTCATGATTTAATGATCGGATCTAAACCAAATTACGAGACGACCCTTAAGGTACCATCTTTCCGGTAAAAAAATAATTATTGGAATCGGTTCGCGCGGTGCAAAGTTATGCGGTGGAATAAATAAAAGAAGTAAAAATACTCCGAAGAATTGATAACCTGCCCTTTTTTGAAGCCGGTTGAAAATGTCTGAGTTCTTTGTAAATTTTATGTAAATAAAATGCAATTTATGAAACTTTAAAAAGTTTATTTATTTATTTCATACTGTACATAAAACTTGCATAAATGTATTTTAAAGAGCGAATTTTCAGTATTTTTTGACGATATATATTTAGAAGTATAAATCCTTTCCCCCCAAAAATATATTCCTGCGTGCGCCCCTGGCACTTAGTATTTATTATTTGTAAAAAATATATTTTTACTTTCAAAATGTTTGTAATTTTAAACATTTCATGTGTATATTTTAAACAACTCATGCTCAAAATCAAATCTTGAACATCTTGTGCGTATACTTGAACAGATTCTGGTTGAAAAATAAACACTTTTCAGTAGTAGTTTTACATGCACTTTTTAGAGTGTACATTTGATGGGCAATTTTGCTCTATGTGACAAATTTGGTATGTAAAAGTAAACAGGCAGTTTTTAATTTTATTGACACGGTGCCTAAATTTGCACACATTAGGAGAGGAAACTGGCAACCTCTCTTAATATGCGTTAATTTAAACAAACAACTTTTAGAACAAATTTTTTAACATTTTATGTGTAAACTGTGTAATTGTGAACACTAAGAAAATTCTATAGAAATTTTTGTAGTTAAGATTAACTAATGATTTAACTATATTTTAAAATGGTTAAATTAACTGCCCAAAGGGCCAAATTCACAGTGCTTTATTAAAAATCGGTAGTTAACTACCGATTCTGAGTTAACTACGCCCTGAGAATTTGGCCTTAAGTGTTTAGAATTCAACAAACAAATTTCAAATTTTTTCTACGCCACACATATGGTAAGTAAAAGTTAAAGAGCAGTATTTAAGTTGATTAACATGGTGCGCAAATTTGCATACATTAAGAGAGGAAACTGGTTACCTTTTTTAATACGCTTAAATTTAAACAAAAATTTTTTAGAGCGAAGTTAATTCGGCAAAGATTTGTTTGTGTATTTCACTGACGAGCTGACGGTATTCTATTGCAACTTTTGTTTGATATGGAGGGAAAATTAATCGAGTGGGTACGGAGTTATCCAGAATTATATAATTTGGCAATAATTGCCAATTGATCATTAGTAAAATAAGTCATCTTGGTTTCAATGAACTTCATTTTACTGAAAGTACCGGGCGACATACTACGGATGTGTGTAAATTGGTATCACTGATCGATGATGATTGGCAATGATACTGAACTGATACGGCACTGATTTGTGAAGATTGGTCTTAACTTTTATTATTGTTACCAATCGACTACAACACAATAGGGGTATTCTCGAAGTATTGCACGATGCACGTATTGCACGAAATGCAAAAATACTATCCCAAATTTCGAAGAGTACGAGAGCACCCCATTGCAAAGTGGTAGAATGCATGGGTAGCAAGCAGCGAAATTATGTATCAAATACAATAACAAGAGACAGCAGAAAAAAATGAAGTGAGCGAGATGAGAGGAATGAGAGAAATATGTAGCAATTCCAACAACAAAACAACTAGCACAGGGTCGCATATATCTTGCTATGCTATTTTGCAAAATATATACATGGGTTTCGACGTTGCATATTTTGCAGCGATAGGAAATGTCGTTTCCCATGTATTTTGTTGTTGTGTGTTTGCAAGTTATGCAATCCATGCAATCCGTGCTACGTGCAATGGCTTTGCAAGATTTGGAGAATACCCCTATTATATGTACATACATATGTACTAGGGTTACAATAGCCGGTTAGATGAATTATGGATACTAATAAAGGCAAAATTCTTCCCCTGAGAGGCTTTCCCATTTGAGTTTCAATACGGTTTCCCCTTAGCTCTGATGCAAAATTACTCATGAGGCGTCGCGAAGCACGCCGGGTATTTGCTAGTATATACATATATACACAGAAACAGATAACGATGACGAAGTAAAGCAGTGACGAGAATGCTAGTTTTGATTTAAACCGGCAAGGCTGCCTTGAGGCAGCTATTATATTTTCACTTCTGATATAAGATCGTTTACTTTTTCACAATCACTGAGTATACATAAAGAAAATATACACTTTTACGCACTCACTGTTAAATTTTCGATTAAATTAAACAAATATAAGTGTAGTTATTTTTCACTTGAAATTCACTGCAGAAAATTCGCGACGCTAACTCAATGAAATCTCGCGCTAAACTGAAGATAGAAGCAAAACGCAAATGCAAAAGACAGAAAAAGTAAACCCAAAATATCAATGGAAGGACGAGGAAAAAATATGAAAGGGCATGGCTTTCGTATGTACAACAACTTTTTTTTTTTGTAGGGTTGCCACCTTTTTAAAAATTATTTTATGCTAACATTGCATAAAGCCAAAAAGACATTTTTTGACCACGCCAATCTCTAACGTGCGGCCGCTGTGGTGTAGTGGTTGGCAGTGCACGCTACCAGGATCTGGGTTCAAGCCCGGTTCAACCCAACACTAACATATGTGAGCCATTATATTTTAAGTCGGGCGGATTTCGTAAAAAACAATTGTCATGTCTTCGATTCGCTAAAATTTTTTTTTGTGGGTTCTATACATGAAATAAGCTAACACGTGTTCGAGGAGATTTTTTTTCTTTTCTTCGGAGATGTGATCTGTCAAAGTTTAAATTTTTTCGTGATTATGACTAATCATATACTTCTTCAAATCCTTATATCTCGGGTTCTGCTTATCGAAGAGACTTCATCTGAACGTCGCAGCAGTGGTCGGAGAAGCTATGTTTTACGCGAAAAATTAGAAGGCTGTTACGATTATAACTAAAAATACATCATCGTAGTATTTTTGTTATGCTAAATCTGAATATGCCATACAATTTTTGGTTTGACAGTTGACAGCCGTCAAATAAACTGCTAATTTCTCTAAAACTAAGAAAATATTTTTGAAAATACCACTTATGAGGTTTTTAGGCATGCTAGTCACGAATTTTATATCAAATTAAAAGTTTGAGAGTCGACAGCTGTCAAACGGACTGCCGATTTTTATTAAAATCAGAGAATCTAGAGACTCTTTTTAAAAACGTTACTGATACGGTTTTTAAACATGCTGATCACGAATTTTACGTCAAATTAAAGCTTTAAGAGTTAATAGCTGTCGAATGGGCTGTCAATTTCTCTAAAAATAAGGAGAGTTTCCCAAGAAGTAAACGTACTAGGTTTTAAGGCTCACTGATCTCGAGATCTATATTACATTAAAATTTTTCAGTTGAATTCTGTCAAATCAACTGTAATTTTTAGTTGAGTAACACAATATATTTGTTAAGCAAAATTACTGATTTATTGTATTTGATCGTACATATTTAAAATGAATTTATGATCAAACTATGAATTAATAAAAATAATTATATTTGTAAATGGGGAATAATTGGGCCGCCTGTTATATGTTCAGCCCAAACAATTTTTAAAGATTTTTTTTTTATACCAAATTGGTGATTTCTAAAACTAAGGTTTTCTCATTTTTAAATAAAGTTAATCAGGTTTGAATTTTTGTAAATGAGAAATTAAAAAAAATATATATAAAACCTTGGGGGCCTAGTTGAAATTTCTAGGCGGAACACATAGCAGATGGCCCCAACTATTACCAGTTCACGTATTTACAAACGTCTACCAAACACCCTGTATTAACTAATATTACAGACAACAAATTAAAATTTAAATGACGAAATATTTTTTCGCTCATCTCTGCCACTTTCAACAAAAACTGATGCGTTTTGACTTGGTTCACGCGAAAGACTGATAACTTCTTCGAAAATGGAATGTGGGTCGTCTCATACTGGATATAACAGGATCAGTAGTGCGATTCACTATCTTTAAGCGATGCGATTGTCGGATTATTACTTTACGATTTTTGATGTTTGCAGTAACGATTTTGCGATTCCCTAACTTATCCTTAATGACACTAAACAGCTGACTTTCACTTTTTAACTAAATTGATAGTACGTGGCACNTTTCACTTTTTAATTAAATTGATAGTACGTGGCACCTCTGTGAAATGAAATATCAAATTATACGACGAGCACAAAGAGGAATACGAAAAAAACAATTACATTTGACTTCGCCGCCCGCCAATTTAAATTGTCTGTCCGACAAAATTTAAGGTTTTTGAAAGATGTAAGTATTATAAAAGAGAATATACACATTTTAAACTATGATTTATGCATAAACTATTACTATCGATTTAGAATGAGTTCAACAAGCCAATGTGCAGCAAAGAGGAGCCGCGCTTCAGGCGAGCAAATTGAAAGGCTGCTGGACTACTTGTCGGAGTGCCCGGGACTAGCAGCAGGCAAATTCCAAAAGATGCACGGTAAGTCTGAGAGCGACAGGAAGTGGAGTGAGCTGGAGGCAAGTCTAAATACCATCGGCGGAGCTGTGAAGACTGTCGAACAATGGCAAACAGTAAGTATATGTTTTGGAATTATTTGACGAGGAGCTGTGGAACTGTTTAGTAATTTGCCCAATGATTTCGGGCTTGGGTGCCTGAACAGGTGACCCGACCCAAACAATTGTTACACACGCTTATACTGAAGGGTATACACTTTATTCTAAAAACAGTTCGCAAATAACTAAACATTTTCCAGAATCTGCGCTACAAAATTTTTTTTTAAACAGGTGTGGCGCGGTCTGAAAAGCCGTACAAGTGTCAGGGTACGGGACATGAAGAGGCAGCAAGCGTTAACCGGCAACCGGCCGGTTAATCAGCAGCCCATAACAGAGGTTGAGAGGCGAGTTATGGCGCTCATCGGCAGCGAGTACATTGAGGGCAATGGAAGAGTTGTCAAAAATGTGCCTGTGGAAGAGGTAATATGGAGTCAGGTGATATTTTGATTCCTCATTTCTAAAGCTTTTTATATTCCTCAATCGAATTTGCAATTGCATTTGGAGGATGGAGACGATAGTGTTACCTCCGTACTACCGACTACCACAGCAGCTGACGATGGCGAGGTGATGTGTGCGACACCCCGTATTCCTGCTAAAAGGACTCCGCGTAGGAGTCTAAAAAGGAAGCGAGAAGATGAGGAGAAGGAGATGCAGGCCAAGTTCCTGGAAGTGTCCAGCAAGCAAGCAGATGCTTGAAAGGTAAATTCTCATTAAAACGATTAATGTCTGGGCGTCCAGTACTAGGTATAATGTAGGATTCACGTTTGTATTAAAACTAAGAAATATTTTTTATCAGACTTACCCCTCTATTCTAACAGAGACACAAAACTTAGCTCATCACTGTTGTGATTTCAAGTGTGCCGAGAAATGTGTCACAAAAAATTAGATTTTGAGTGCTAGAAAAATACACAAAAATTTAAAAAATTGAATTGAAGCGGCATATTTTTTGAGCGGCAAGCTTTGAGGCGCGGTAGAAATCACAGCAGTGATGAGCTAAAGTTTGTGACTTTGTTAGAATACGGCTGTTAATCTGAATATTGTGAGAGCATTTATAGAATCAATATTACCTCTTTCACGCTCAGTGACCAATAATATATGTGCATAAAAGTCGAGTGCATTATATCNGTTTATAGAATCAATATTACCTCTTTCACACTCAGTGACCAATAATATATGTGCATAAAAGTCGAGTGCATTATATCATAGTAAACTTAACCTCCAGACTTTACTAGTCGTTCTTTACGAATACAAATAAATTAAAAAATATTATTGACTAAATGTCGATTAAATAAATTCTTTCATTATTGACTTTTGCATTTTTGTTTTTTTAGCTGCTAGCTGAATGTAGTGCCGCCAATACAGAAACCAACAAATTGATGGTTGAGGCGTTTAACAGATTGGTGGACGTCATTAGCTCCTGGACTTAATATTTTTATANTCCAGACTTTACTAGTCGTTCTTTACGAATACAAATAAATTAAAAAATATGATTGACTAAAGGTCGATTAAGTAAATTCTTTCATTATTGACTTTTGCATTTTTGTTTTTTTAGCTGCTAGCTGAATGTAGTGCCGCCAATACAGAAACCAACAAATTGATGGTTGAGGCGTTTAACAGATTGGTGGACGTCATTAGCTCCTGGACTTAATATTTTTATAGATATTTTTAATTTAAGCTACATAAGCATTAACTATTTTAACTTATCACAGCGCGAGTGACGAAAGCAGCCACAGTAGCATGCTGAAATGACTCGCTTATATATACACGAGATTTGGAAGGTTTTATCCCGACATCCAATCGACATGTTTCAGATATCGTTGGAAAGATTGTAGAGCGTGTCCAGAAAATGTATTCAAGCTTCATAAACGATTAACCGGATTCTTAAAAATTCGGCTAAAGTGTTGCGAAACAAAAAATGTTTTTTTGCTTTTGCCGGTTTAAGGGGGCATGTGGGCACTCCCAACATATTTAGTGTTATTCTATAGGCCAATACCTTTAAAACGATATATATTAAGTTCCGGCCACTAGTTGGAAAGATATAGAGGTAAATATGTTTTGGTTCGTGTCTCCACTACGAGATGCTTTGGTATGTATGTGGCGTCTGTACGTACCTTCATTTAATTTTTTTTAAACTTTCAGGAATTAAAGTACAAAAAAAACTAGGAAGGTTTTGTTCCAGGATGTTTTGATTCGTATGCCTTTGTGGGCGTGGCTGCTGCCTGAAATTCGAAAAAAGGCAATTTTATAAACTACCACTGGGGCCGGACTACTCAATCCATGTCATTGATGTGGACATCAGTAGAAGGGTCTTCAAACAAGCTATCTAACGCTATCTTTTGTGTTTATAAAATATAAATATGTCATAACGTTATCGCCTGAAAAATTAAAAGCGGGCTGCTGAAAATATAGATTTCGGGCATTTTCTCAAAAAGTGGTCAGTCGATTTTATTCTCTGTTTCCTCAAGTCTAGCCCAAAACTTAAGCTTTTATTTGGTATATAGCTTATATCTGGAAAAACTCCTGTTGTGGAGATATGGCGATTCAAATTGAAAAAAGTCGCCCCAAATAGCGACCAATGGTTTAAAATTAACATATGCGTCTAATTTGGTTACTTTAAGATATAAATATAACATACCCAGTTCCCCGAAAAAATTGCCTATTCCCCGATTGCCACTTAAACCGAAATTCCCTGCAAATCGGGGGGATTTCCCGCGAGGTGACAAGTTGAAGGATGTAGCTGTGCTAATCACTTCATACATGTCTTGGAAGCCACAATATATGTGTATTTTAGAGTTTTTTTCAGTCACATGCCGAAATTGTAACATTTTTCGCCATTTTAATTGCAGGTATGTACACAGTATTTAACTATGCTACATGGGTTTATCACCCGCACTTAATCTACCTGGGAAGACGCGTACTACATTACCTACAGTTGTAAATATGTACATAGGTATGAATGCATTTAGTTCACCCAATATGCCGCTACTACTACGTACATATAAACATATATGTATAAATTGCCACGAGTGCAACACCGTACAAGAGATAGAAGTAAAACTCCTTAAAAAAAGCACATGTGTGCGCCCCACACCCGGTAGAAATCTTAACAAAAATTAACTACGAGACTATCAGACGAATACAGTTGTTAATTGTATCCAAAGTTGGTACCAAGTTGATAAGTTTTTATCATTTCTCATAATTGGCTTTTAATTTTTAATTATTTTGAAAACAAAGGATAAGATCATTATTTTTCGCTTTATCCCGTATTCGAAAAATTATATGTTTCAATGGACAAATCGATTTGAATACATAATTTAGATTTAGATAATATTTTTAGCAATTTAGCATAAATAAAATTTTTTTTGTGGGTTCTATGCATGAAATAAGCTAACACGTGTTCGAGGAGATTTTTTTTCTTTTCTTCGGAGATGTGATCTGTCAAAGTTTGAATTTTTTCGTGATTATGACTAATCATATACTTCTTCAAATCGTTATATCTCGGGTTCTGCTTATCGTAGAGACTTCATCTTAACGTCGCACAGTGGTCGGAGAAGCTATGTTTTACGCGAAAAATTAGAAGGGCTGTTACGATTATATTAAAAATACATCATCGTAGTATTTTTGTTATGCTTAATCTGAATATGACATACAATTTTTGGTTTGACAGTTGACAGCTGTCAAATTAACTGCTAATTTCTCTAAAAATAAAAAAATCTCAAAGTTTGAATCTTTTCGTGATTATGACTAATCATATACTTCTTCAAATCGTTATATCTCGGGTTCTGCTCATCGTAGAGACTTCATCTTAACGTCGCACAGTGGTCGGAGAAGCTATGTTTTACGCGAAAAATTAGAAGGGCTGTTACGATTATATTAAAAATACATCATCGTAGTATTTTTGTTATGCTTAATCTGAATATGACATACAATTTTTGGTTTGACAGTTGACAGCTGTCAAATTAACTGCTAATTTCTCTAAAAATAAAAAAATCTCAAAGTTTGAATCTTTTCGTGATTATGACTAATCATATACTTCTTCAAATCGTTATATCTCGGGTTCTGCTCATCGTAGAGACTTCATCTTAACGTCGCACAGTGGTCGGAGAAGCTATGTTTTACGCGAAAAACTAGAAGGCTGTTACGATTATAATAAAAATGCATCATCGTAGTACTTTTGTTATGCTAAATCTGAATATGCCATAAATTTTTGGTTTGACAGTTGACAGCCGTCAAATAAACTGCTAATTTCTCTAAGACTAAGAAAATATTTTTGAAAATACCACTTATTAGGTTTTTAGGCATGCTAGTCACGAATTTTATATCAAATTTTTAAACAGGTGTGGCGCGATCTGAAAAGCCGTACAAGTGTCAGGGTACGGGACAGGAAGAGGCAGCAAGCGTTAACCGGCAACCGGCCGGTTAATCAAGAGCCCATAACAGAGGTTGAGAGGCGAGTTATGGCGCTCATCGGCAGCGAGTACATTGAGGGCAATGGAAGAGTTGTCGAAAATGTGCCTGTGGAAGAGGTAATATGGAGTCAGGTGATATTTTGATTCCTCATTTCTAAAGCTTTTTATATTCCTCAATCGAATTTGCAATTGCATTTGGAGGATGGAGACGATAGTGTTACCTCCGTACTACCGACTACCACAGCAGCTGACGATGGCGAGGTGATGTGTGCGACACCCCGTATTCCTGCTAAAAGGACTCCGCGTAGGAGTCTAAAAAGGAAGCGAGAAGATGAGGAGAAGGAGATGCAGGCCAAGTTCCTGGAAGTGTCCAGCAAGCAAGCAGATGCTTGAAAGGTAAATTCTCATTAAAACGATTAATGTCTGTGCGTCCAGTACTAGGTATAATGTAGGATTCACGTTTGTATTAAAACTAAGAAATATTTTTTATCAGACTTACCCCTCTATTCTAACAGAGACACAAAACTTAGCTCATCACTGTTGTGATTTCAAGTGTGCCGAGAAATGTGTCACAAAAAATTAGATTTTGAGTGCTAGAAAAATACACAAAAATTTAAAAAATTGAATTGAAGCGGCATATTTTTTGAGCGGCAAGCTTTGAGGCGCGGTAGAAATCACAGCAGTGATGAGCTAAAGTTTGTGACTTTGTTAGAATACGGCTGTTAATCTGAATATTGTGAGAGCATTTATAGAATCAATATTACCTCTTTCACGCTCAGTGACCAATAATATATGTGCATAAAAGTCGAGTGCATTATATCATAGTAAACTTAACCTCCAGACTTTACTAGTCGTTCTTTACGAATACAAATAAATTAAAAAATATTATTGACTAAATGTCGATTAAATAAATTCTTTCATTATTGACTTTTGCATTTTTGTTTTTTTAGCTGCTAGCTGAATGTAGTGCCGCCAATACAGAAACCAACAAATTGATGGTTGAGGCGTTTAACAGATTGGTGGACGTCATTAGCTCCTGGACTTAATATTTTTATAGATATTTTTAATTTAAGCTACATAAGCATTAACTATTTTAACTTATCACAGCGCGAGTGACGAAAGCAGCCACAGTAGCATGCTGAAATGACTCGCTTATATATACACGAGATTTGGAAGGTTTTATCCCGACATCCAATCGACATGTTTCAGATATCGTTGGAAAGATTGTAGAGCGTGTCCAGAAAATGTATTCAAGCTTCATAAACGATTAACCGGATTCTTAAAAATTCGGCTAAAGTGTTGCGAAACAAAAAATGTTTTTTTGCTTTTGCCGGTTTAAGGGGGCATGTGGGCACACCCAACATATTTAGTGTTATTCTATAGGCCAATACCTTTAAAACGATATATATTAAGTTCCGGCCACTAGTTGGAAAGATATAGAGGTAAATATGTTTTGGTTCGTGTCTCCACTACGAGATGCTTTGGTATGTATGTATCCAAAGTTGGTACCAAGTTGATAAGTTTTTATCATTTCTCATAATTGGCTTTTAATTTTTAATTTTTTCGCAAACAAAGGATAAGATCATAATTTTTCGCTTTATCCCGTATTCGAAAAATTATATGTTTCAATGGACAAATCGATTTGAATACATAATTTAGATTTAGATAATATTTTTAGCAATTTAGCATAAATAAAACATTTAGATTATTGTTTGTATTTTCATCCATTTTAAATATGCTACCCCAAAATAATTGATATCAAATAAAACACCTCTTTGAGGTAGAGTTTTCGAGTGACGAAAGCTGAACTAGAAACACAAAATTTATGATATCAATTTCGTGACGAAAATTATACGCGTTTTTTAACTGCCTTTGAAACGTACGGAAAATCTTTTTTTTATTTATTCGGAACGTTGCGAAATTCCGTCTACTGCTAGAAACACAAAATAAAAAACAGAACTTTTGCAACGAACGTTTCAAAGGCAGTTAAAAAATGCGTATAATTTTCGTCACGAAATTGATATCATAAATTTTGTGTTTCTCGTTCCGCTTTCGTCACTCGAAAATTTTACCTAAAAGAGGTGTTTTATTTGATTATATATACACGAGATTTGGTTTATATATACACGAGATTTGGAAGTTTTCATCCAGACGTCCAATCGACATGTTTCAGATATCGTTGAAAGGTCCTGGAGAGTGTGTCCAGAAAATGTATTCAAGCTTCATAAGCGATTAACCGGATTCTTAAAAATTAGGCTAAAGTGTTGCGAAAAAAAAGGTTTTTTGCTTTTGCCGGTTAAAGGGGGCATGTGGGCACACCCAACATATTTAGTGTTATTCTATAGGCCAATACCTTTCAATCGATACCTTACATATTAAGTTCCGGCCACTAGTTGGAAAGATATAGAGGTAAATGTGTTTTGGTTCGTGTCTCCACTACGAGATGCTTTGGTATGTATGTGGCGTTTGTACGTACCATCATTTAATTTTTTTCAAACTTTCAGGAATGAAAGTACAAAAAAAAACTAAGAAGGTTTTGTTCCAGGATGCTTTAATTCGTACGCCTTTGTGGGCGTGGCTGCTCCCTGAATTTCGAGAAAAAACTATATTTTAAACTACCACTGAGGCCGCACTACTCAGTCCATGTCATTGATGTGGATATCAGTAGAAGGGTCTTCAAACAAGCTATCTAACGCTATCTTTTGTGTTTATGAAATATAAATATGTCATAACGTTATCGCCTGAAAACTAAAAATCGGGCTGCTGAAAACAAAGATTTCGAGAATTTTCTCAAAAACTGGTCAGTCGATTTTATTCGTAGTTCCCAAAAATCTAGCCCGAAACCCTAGCTTTTATCTGGTATATAGCTTATATCTGGGAAAATGTTTGTTGTGGAGATATCACGATTCAAATTGAAGAAAGGTCGCTCCAAAAAGGGTCAAATGGTTAAAAATTAACATACTCGTCTAATTTGGTTACTTTAAGATATAAAAATAACGTACCCAGTTCCCCGAAAAAAATTCCCATTCTCCGATTACCACTTAAAACGAAATTCCCTGCAAATCGGGGAATTTCCCGCGAGTTGACAAGCTGAAGGATGCAGTTGTGCTAATTACTTCGTACATGTCTTGGAAACCACAATTTGTGTGTCCCTGCAGTGAAATCCCAAACTAGTCAGGAAAAATACTAGTTTACAAGTAGAATTTCNCGCTTTCGTCACTCGAAAATTTTACCTAAAAGAGGTGTTTTATTTGATTATATATACACGAGATTTGGTTTATATATACACGAGATTTGGAAGTTTTCATCCAGACGTCCAATCGACATGTTTCAGATATCGTTGAAAGGTCCTGGAGAGTGTGTCCAGAAAATGTATTCAAGCTTCATAAGCGATTAACCGGATTCTTAAAAATTAGGCTAAAGTGTTGCGAAAAAAAAGGTTTTTTGCTTTTGCCGGTTAAAGGGGGCATGTGGGCACACCCAACATATTTAGTGTTATTCTATAGGCCAATACCTTTCAATCGATACCTTACATATTAAGTTCCGGCCACTAGTTGGAAAGATATAGAGGTAAATGTGTTTTGGTTCGTGTCTCCACTACGAGATGCTTTGGTATGTATGTGGCGTTTGTACGTACCATCATTTAATTTTTTTCAAACTTTCAGGAATGAAAGTACAAAAAAAAACTAAGAAGGTTTTGTTCCAGGATGCTTTAATTCGTACGCCTTTGTGGGCGTGGCTGCTCCCTGAATTTCGAGAAAAAACTATATTTTAAACTACCACTGAGGCCGCACTACTCAGTCCATGTCATTGATGTGGATATCAGTAGAAGGGTCTTCAAACAAGCTATCTAACGCTATCTTTTGTGTTTATGAAATATAAATATGTCATAACGTTATCGCCTGAAAACTAAAAATCGGGCTGCTGAAAACAAAGATTTCGAGAATTTTCTCAAAAACTGGTCAGTCGATTTTATTCGTAGTTCCCAAAAATCTAGCCCGAAACCCTAGCTTTTATCTGGTATATAGCTTATATCTGGGAAAATGTTTGTTGTGGAGATATCACGATTCAAATTGAAGAAAGGTCGCTCCAAAAAGGGTCAAATGGTTAAAAATTAACATACTCGTCTAATTTGGTTACTTTAAGATATAAAAATAACGTACCCAGTTCCCCGAAAAAAATTCCCATTCTCCGATTACCACTTAAAACGAAATTCCCTGCAAATCGGGGAATTTCCCGCGAGTTGACAAGCTGAAGGATGCAGTTGTGCTAATTACTTCGTACATGTCTTGGAAACCACAATTTGTGTGTCCCTGCAGTGAAATCCCAAACTAGTCAGGAAAAATACTAGTTTACAAGTAGAATTTCCTGACAGAAACCGAACTAGTTCGAAAATGATCAGACTTGTTCTAAGTACAGAACGATTTATTCGTGCACTGTTTTATTTGAAGTCGACAGTTTTATACAATAAAGTACACAAATTATTATAACTTTTATTTGGGTACATTGTAAATCATTACGTACTCGATACTCAATTATACAGGACCTGTTAAATAATGATTAATATTCATAATGGTTATTAACTAAAGCATGTTTTTTGATAACCGTTTAATGATCAAATTACTACAAATATAATTATTTGATCAATTTCTATTATCAACAACAAGCCAAACTATACACAAAAATTAAGAATATTTAGTAACTGCTTCAATTATTTCTTTACTTTATTCTTATCTAAATCTCAAATTTTAAACATTGGTTATTAATTTTATAAATTTTTAAAAATAAAATACTGAAATGACCAAAGTTAATGAATTTAATTTTATTTTTATTTTAGTTCACTCAAAAACGAACTAAAGTATTCATTTTATTTTTAACTAAAATGTTTTCTTTTGCATATTCAATATAATTAAAAAAAATTTTATTTTTTTTACCTGAAACATTTTACTTTTACTAACATTTAATGAAAAATTCATTTAAATTGATGTTCGAAAGTTTGGAGTATTTATGTAGCACTATTTATTGGAAAATCTACGGCGGTTAATAAAATTTGTAATATATTAAAGTGTACTCAATCAAAAGTTTTTATTTCGCGTGCCCTGGGTTCGGGTCCCGCCACGCTAAAACCCCGCCCAATGAAAAATTCCAACAAGCCTCGGATGGGACCCCTTTTTTTGTCGACGACCACGGCAAACCTATAAAAGACTATGATTTGAGGGTATGCACCTGGAATATCCGGACCCTTAATGGGGAAGGTGCTTCTGCCCGGCTGGTTGATGTCCTCGGGAAGACAAAGGCTGACATCACCGCCATCCAAGAAATGCGATGGACGGGGCAAGGTAAAGTAAGCGTGAAGCCTTGCGACGTCTACTACAGTTGCCACGTAAAGGAGCGCAAATTCGGTGTTGGATTCGTGGTAGGAGAGAGACTCCGTCGCCGAGTACTGGCGTTCACCCCGGTGGACGAACGTCTAGCCACAATCCGCATC